CTAGTGCTCCCCCCCCCTTCCTGTAGTGTATTATAGGTGTTGGTGCATGTAAATGGTCTGTAAAGGCTCAAATTCCAAAGTTCCCTCCAGAAGGAGTTTCTCCAGAAAATTCTACAATACATAGATACACAAAGCCACTAATATAAACACTAAAATGTGTATTTCAGATATTTTCCTCGCACTTTTCTGAAAGAAGACGTATTTTAGAAGCAACATAGCCTAAACCTTGCCTTGTATTGTCTCTCCTGAAACACATACTAACGTTTCTGTCAATGCACATGGTTGATCTTCACAATGTCTTGGCAGCATGACATTCCCTCTGCAAACTAAAAAGTGAATTAGTTTGAGCAGTTTGGCGAGGAGGGACTCTCAGTGATGCTACCAGTGAGTGTTGCACTTGTATCTCCATGTGCAGATCGTCCTTCTCTCTCTGCTACTGGCTGTCAGATTGATGGAGGTGACGAGCTCAATCAGACACAGTGTGAGAGNCTGTGTGCCTTGGCAGTCTCAGATACTAACGTTTCTGTCAATGCACATGGTTGATCTTCACAATGTCTTGGCAGCATGGCATTCCCTCTGCAAACTAAAAAGTGAATTAGTTTGAGCAGTTTGGCGAGGAGGGACTCTTAGTGATGCTACCAGTGAGTGTTGCACTTTTATCGCCATGTGCAGATCGTCCTTCTCTCTCTGCTACTGGCTGTCAGATTGATGGAGGTGACGAGCTCAATCAGACACAGTGTGAGAGCAAGAATCTCCCAGTTGGCATTCAATAATAAAAGGAAAGAGGGCAAAGCTCTTTCTTACAAAAGTCGAAGTTTGTTGTCGAGATATTGTTATGAAAGTGGGAGCGAATAAGACGATACGTGAAAAATGAGTGCCTTAGATGTGACCCTCGGTAACCCCTGAGTGTCTGGGCTAGTCACTGTAGTAAAGGTTCTCCCTCTGCTGTGCCTCCATTAGAGTTGAAGCAGTGAGAGCAGGTTGAGGCCCTACTGTGGTCAGATTTAAGCTTTTGCCGAAGACGAGGCCATTGATCTATCCTCAGTAAAAGTGCTTATCTATGGGTACAATCCCAAAGGCTCCCAGCACTTACAGTCCATTCTGCCCAGATCTGATCAATACTCACCGAGGCTAACTCCGAAAGAGAACAGAGACGGGGAGAAGAAAGACGAGGAGAGGGAAATAGAGGAGTAGCTGACATCAAGGCTACATACAAACACAGTTGGCTACATTTCTGTTTTACTACGCTGCTCCCACTGTGCATCCAGCTGTACGGGGCACATACGGGGGTGTCAGTGGGTGTGGCAGAAAAACTCAAAGAAAAACTGTGGGTTAAACTCCCTCAAAGTGGAGAAAATGCTGCTCCAAAAACAAGTTAAATAACAATGAAAACAAGGTGTTTTCACTTGAAATAAGTACAAACATCTGCCAATAGGACAAGTGAAAATGTGCTTGGTAAGATTCCTGGAAGGTGGGATATCTAGATAAATCAGATCTTGTAATTAGCAAGGACAACTTATTTTTGAACTATATTTGACCAGAATCAGGAAATGTTGTGTTACAAAATAAGCCGCAAAAGTTTTCTGTTTTCTGATGTCAGTTGGGGATTTTCCATATATGTAAAACAATATGTGTTTCATCTGAGATACAACTCAAAATAGGTCCCATGTCATGCTTTTCCGGTTATTACCCGTCCCCTTTGTCTATGCTGCCCCAGAACGCCTCGTTGGACATTTCTCTTTTTCTTTCTGGCAGGAGCTCCAACAAGCCGTGTAGGACAGAGAGTGAATACACATACTATACAGAGATGCTGTCTGAGAAACCAATGTGAGTTTGGAACATTGAACAATGTAAATCTATTCTAGTCGACCTCAACAATGGAATATGATCAGTAGAAATGGCCGTGACATGGGACCTTTAACAAGATGATGCATTGTCTAAAAACAACTCCCGATATCTCACTGCAATGAAGTTATTATGTCTTATAGCAAGTGTAAAGACATTTTCTGACTGATATTAGACAAATATACTGGGGAAGATTTGGAGTTGTTGCAGCTCAGTCCTTTCTCTCGCTGTTACCAAGCCAAGCAGAACTCCTTTCCAACAGCAAGTCCCTTTCGCTTGGCGCACTGCCTTCTGCCAACCCTAGCCGCCTTGCTAGCTCCTCCGAGAGCAACCCCTCTCTTATTTCACAGCCGCATGTTTTCAAGCTTGTCCCCCTCTCTCTGTACTTCTGTCTCAATCCCCTTATCCCCCTCTTTACCTCCCCTGTGGTGATATATGTTGTTGTCTCCATGGAACGCTGGCTCGAAGCCAAGCGAGCCCCCCCGGTTCTAAGAACTCTACTGGACAGCCCCAGAACCTCTGTGTACAGACCTATAGGAGCTCTGGTATGCAAACCTCACGAGGGGTCGCGTTGCCCAGTTGAGTCACATGCCCCCCCGATTTTATCTGCGACCACTGTACTCTCTGTACTCTGAGCAGGAGGCTGAACATCGCACGCAATGTCAATGCAACACCGGCAGCGTCACAGAAACGACATCAGGTGGTGTCTGTTTCCATGAGGGTATACAGGCCGTATGCAAACACACACCGTGAAGAGTAAAATGAACATTGCTGTGGCTACAAATATACGGCACACTGGAGTCGAACCTGCAGGTTGAATGTCAGCAATGCAGCAAGAAGCCAATGGCAAAAAAAGAGTTCTTGAATTCTTAACGAAAACTTTGTCAACATCCGTTTTTCAAACCCTCCCAATATTTTCGCACTCTTACGCTAATCTGTTCCCCAACACACACATCATTTCCTACAACTTTACCAATTATGACCCCCCAAAGTGTAATAAATGCAAAGCACTGAGCATGTTCAACACATTAACCTCCATTAACTTCACTTCGTCAAGACTTTTCCTGTTTGTTGAATCTTCGTTGTCAGACAAAGAAAATGTGCTCCAAGTATTCAAGGTAACCCAGGGTGATACTTTCAACACAAATGGCCAATTTGTGTATGAAAAATTAAGAAATGTACTCGTGACACACATACTTATGTTATAGGCACACAGTTGTCATAAGAATCACTAAATCACAATTCAAGCTGAGTCCTATAGAAACCTGACATGTGGACAGTTCAGGTTCATGCAGTCTTAAGTTAATTAATTCCCCGACACATTTTTATCTCCTACAAACGTACTTATAATGACCCCCAGAATGTCTCCAATGCAAAGTACTGAGCATGTTAATTAACCACATTAACCCCTATAAGCTTCAGTTCATCAAGACTTTTCGTGTGTTTTGATTCTTTGCTCACCGTTGTCGGATAACAAAACGTATTCCAGGTAACCCAGGGTGAGTACTCTAAACACAATTGGTCGATTTGTGTTTGAACAAAAAGGAAATGTACTAGTGACACACATACTAATGAGTTTTCAGGCACACAGTTGTCATAACAAGCACTAAATCACAACCAAACTAAGTCCTATAGGAACCTGACATGTGGACAGTTGACGTCCAGGGACCAGATGGAGGAAGGTGCAGGGTGAAGCCTAAAAATATCTGACTAGGGGGAGTGCAAATAAGCAACCTGGGACCCTCCAAGGACCCCTTATGGATCCTGGACAGAGTGAAAGATTAGCCAGGGTTTGGTGCAACACAAAAGCTTTCTAACCTTCTAATCCTTTTAATCTTTATCACTCCGATCCTCACCAAGTAGCTGCCTGGGATGTTGTCAAATAGCTGAGAGCTGATATGTTGTTAATGATCATCAGGACATTAAATCTTTGGCGGACAGGAAATGACTGAGCAATATGAGAACAAGCAGCTGCAATATTAAATGCAAATGGTCGGACGCCATTTAGGGAATGTTTCCTGACTGATTCAAGTGCCTTTAGAAATACATTTCAATCCTTATATCTTAGATTGTGGAGGTCTTGTTAACGATGTTTAATTGTCAAATCATAAGGACGCGTACATTTAAGCATACACTTTATATATTGTTCTGAGCCAGGGTTGGAAGATAGAATGATGATTACGTTTTAGGGAATAATCCCACGCTCGTTTCCTGTGTGAAAACCAGGAAAGTGGATGTGGTCGGAACAAAATGGTGTCTAGTGGGCAGCAAGGGCTTGGCTGTTATTAAACCATGGAGTCAACTCTAATTTCCTGTTTACTGGTGCCTGTATCTTTA